GGGTAGCGACCAGGGGTGTTTTCCAGACTCTTATTTATCCCCATCAATGAATTGGTCAGGACAATTGGTGGATTTGAAAGATCACTGTTTATTTTTGCACAGAAATAAGAAAAAGAAAAGGAGATGAAGCACAAAAGAAGTGCTCAGGAAGAAAAGGGTGCTTTGAAAAAAGAAAGAGGGTGCGCATCGAGGGTCTCTGTTGCTTGTGGCCCTGTGTGACTGGAAGATAGAGCGAGAAGCCTAGTCTGCAGTAGCCTGGACCCCCACCCCCTCCCCTGAGAGGTCTGGCTGCTCCTGCGACCAGGAGCCTCCTTCCTCGCCACCCTGAGCACGTCCCAGTGCCTCAGTGGCCTGGGCCCCTGAAAACAGTTGCCGAGGCACAGGTTGTCGGGCTTCCACGTGCCAGGTGATGGGTACTGGGGTGCCCTGGGGGACCCCTGGCTCCACTCAGGGCGCCAAAAATGCTGAGTGGTAAGGAGCAGGCATGGCTCGGAAGCGAGGGCCAGTTCTGTGTCTGAGCTGTGTTCCCTGGCAGCTGGAGATGGACGCCTGCGATCACCGCGTCCAGCAAGTTTTCTGTGTTGATCCATGCCAATGCGCAATACCGACATGTCTGTGTCTACTGATGGTGCTGAGCACCCCACGGATTCCTGCTTCAGAACAAGAGACCCTGCTTAGACCAAAGCCATTGCTTTTGAAGTTGTTAAAGTCTGTTGGTGCACAAAAAGACACTTAACTATGAAAGAGGTCATATTTTCTCTTGGCCAGTATATTATGACTGAACGATTATATGATGAGAAACAACAACATACTGTATATTGTTCAAATGATCTTCTAGGAGATTTGTTTGGAGTACCAAGCTTCTCTGTGAAAGAGCAGAGGAAAATATTTACAATGATCTACAGAAACTTGACAGTAGTCAATCAGCAGGAACCATCAGACGCTGGCACAGCTGTGTGTGAGAGCAGGTGTCACCTTGAAGATGAGAGTGAACAAAAGGACCCTGGGCAAGAGCTACAAGAACAAAACCTTCATCTTCAGATTTGGTTTCTAGGCCATCTACTTCATCTAGAGGGAGAGCAATTAGTGAGACAGAAGAAAATTCAGATGAATTGTCTGGTGAATGACAAAGAAAATGCCACAAGTCAGACAGTATTTCTCTTTCCTTTGATGAAAGCCTAGCTTTGTGTGTAATTACTTGTGAAAGAAGTAATAGCAGTGAATCGACAGAGACTCCATCAAATCTGGATCTGGATGATGGTGTAAGTGAACATTCAGGTGATTGGTTGGATCAGGATTCAGTTTCACATCAATTCAGTGTAGAATTTGAAGTTGAATCTCTTGACTCAGAAGATTATAGTCTTAGTGAAGAAGGACAAGACCTCTCAGATGAAGATGATGAGGTATATTGAGTTACTGTGTATCAGGCAGGGGAAAGTGATACAGATTCATTTGGAAAAGATCCTGAAATTTCCTTAGCTGACTATTGGAAGTGTGCTTCATGCAATGAAATGAATCCTCCCCTTCCATCGGATTGCAACAGATATTGGGCCCTTCGTGATAATTGGCTTTCTGAAGATAAAGGGAAAGGTAAGAGGGAACTCCCTGAGAAAGCGAAATTAGAAAACTGAACACAGGCAGACGAGGGCTTGGATGTGCCTGATGGTAAAAAAAAAAATCTGCAGCAAATGATTCCAGAGAGTCATGTATTGATGAAGATAATGATAGAGTCACACAAGCCTCCCAGTCCCAAGAAATTGAGGACTAGTCTAAGGCATCAACTTCCGGTTGCATTATTAATAGCAGCCAGGAAGATGTTAAAGAGTTGGAGCAGGAAGAAACACAAGAGAAAGAAGAAAATGTGGAATCTAGTTTTCCCCTTAATGCCATTGAACCTTGTGTGATTTGCCAAGGTCGACCTAAAAATGGTTGCATTATTCATGGCAAAACAGGACATCTTATGTCATGTTTCACACGTGCAAAGAAGCTAAAGAAAAGAAATAACACCTGCCCAGTATGCAGACAACCAATTCAAATGATTGTGCTAACTTATTTCAATTAGCTGACATATCCACAAAAGTCTATTTTAAATTTCTAACTATATAAGCCTAAAAATTTAAACAACATAGATTTTATGAACATATATCAAAGCAAGAAATATAAGTAGGACATTTAAATGTAACTTATTTAGTACCTTTTGTGTAAACAGGAAGAAAAGTATGTGGAAAGAGTTAATATTTAAAATGTAAATACTCCGAACCACCAATCCTGAGTTTCTGTCCCCTGTCAGAAGTTCTTAGATTTGGTGCTATGTTATGTAGGTAAAAATGTGCCACTTATAATTAATAACCTTCAGTGAAAATAACCAGAATTAGTAATGATGACAATTGAGATTATAAATGATAACATAGGTAATGTTATTCAACATTCAGCTCTGCACAGTGGGTCTCATTTTGTATGCTTATGGATTACTAATGTAGTCTTGATTGTCTAAATTTTTAGGTTTAGCATACGTATATTATTGATTTACAAATAAATGGTTTATTGAATGTTAAATAAAAAAATAAAAAGAGAGAGTGAGAAGGGGCATCCTGCAAGCAGAAGGGACCGCTGCAAGAACAAGAGGGCAAGGGCAGCAATGTCAATTGTTGCTGCCCTTTTATGTCTTCTTTGACAGTTGATCTGGGCGGTCCCACTGCATCTGTCAGCTGCCAGGTTCAGCATGTTCTTCTACCAGAAAATGGCAGGGCTGGGCCTGACCCTGTGTCAGGCTCGGGTGCTGCTGTTCCGTGGCTGTGTTTATGTCTCCTCAACTGGTAGGTTGTGCCCTAGCTTCCTACTATACTACTAGAGTAAGTGCTAGGGTCTGAAGGCCCAAACACAGGAACTCCCCTGTTTGAGGGCGAGGGGAGATGGATGGTCCCTGCTCAAGAAGAAGTAGTGAATTGGCCCTTCTCTGCCTTTTTCTTCTACTTGAGTAGGACCTCAAATGGATGATGTCTGCCAACAATGGTGAAGAGGGGTCTTTTTAACTTAGTCTGCCAACTCAAAAGTTAACCTCTTCTGGAAGCACACAACCACACCCAGAAATTACATTTTACCAGCTGATGGAGCATCCCGTAACAGTCAAATTGACACATAAAATTAATCATCTCAGTCTTTGATTATGAAGCTGAGCTATTCAGTTATCCCTAGAACATGCCCACCACTGGACTTTGGATTATATGAGATGATAATTTTAAGCCACCTGAATTAGCTTTCCGTTAAGGTGCTCTCAGTTAGATAACAGCAAACCTGACTCAAATGAACTTTATTGTCCAGTTGAGCATGTTCTGAGCGGTGCAAATAAGTCTTTTTTTTTTTTTTTTTGGTACCGGGGATTGAACTTGGGACCTTGTGTTTGCAAGGTAGACGCTGGAAAATGTCATATTTTGAGGGTTCTCTGAGCTTCTGCCTTCATCTCTGCCTCTAGGAAGTCCTGACCTTCCGATTAGTTTTCTCCTTGATACTCTCATTGTAATGACTTTTCCAAAATTCAAATTGCATCCTATTACAACTGTCATTAAATTCTCCAAAGGCTACTCTTTGTTTTCATAGCCCGGCACACAGATCTTTCTTCACTGGGGCCAGCCAGCATCATCTTTGCCTCATCGCCTATCAAGTCAGGCCCCTTGGGAACCCTAATGCTAACCATTTCAGCTATGGTCATTGCTGGGCCATGCTATATTCTGTCTCCTTTACGTGTAGTATACGGAGGCTATCCCCATCATCTAGAATACACTCCTCTACACAATGCATAACCTCAATTCAGCCTCAAGAGTCAGGTGGTTTTGGTGGGTCTCTCCTAGTCCCCAGCCCTCAGCCTTGCAAAAGTGTCCTTGTGCTCCCAGCACCACTGTGGAATCCCATTAAAGCATGTAACACTGCAGTGTAATTGTCTCCCATGTCTGACATTAGTCTCTGAGGGAAAATTTACTCAGCATCTCCAATGCCTGGCATATTAACCAGCACAAAACAGGTAGTAAATATTTATTAATCAATGGAAATAATTCTGTAACCTACACTTGGGTTCACACAAACTCTCTTTGGCTGACTTGTACTGCTATTTTTGCAGACCACACATAACATCTTCAGCAGGGTGGGAGGGGCAAAGAGAGGAAGGAAAATATTTCACCTCGTATCACTCACTGTCAAGTTTCTGGAGGGAGGTAAGCCACACTAAGTGAAGATTTCCTTTTACGTTTTATCTGTTCTGTCTGTGCCTGACCCACATGATGACCTGTGCAACAAATATGTATTGAGTGCCTATGACAGTAGGTGCCAAGTGTGGCTACAGCATTTGGGATATCATCAGTGAACAAAACAGAGTCTTCAGCATTGGCTTGACAAATAAGGTTAATCAACCATTTCCCCTTCCTGCATTTTAGTCTTGCATTTGTTGGTGAACAAGAAACGGTACCACGGAAAGCTGCAGTCTGAGGTAAAAGGCACTGGAAAGCATGTGCCTATACCATTTCTAAGTGCTGCCAATTCTGTCTCCAACCAAGGACAGTTAAGAGAAGGTCATGGATGAATTCTATGCCCCGACTTTGTTCTCAATAATCCACATCAGTTGGCATTGAATTTATTTTCTAAACAGGAGTTTTATATACATACACTCCTTTGCAAGGTTTCAGCTTTGGTCCTCACTGAAAATCTCATCTGGGACAGTGAGGTCCACCCAATATACTACCTTAATGCTTCCTTCTCTGCTTTGCAGAGGACTTTGCACGGAGAGCTCCAGCTGGACATAACATTACAGCTTCAGAAGCTGGTCTGGGCAGCATGGATTTCCTACAAAGACCAGGGGGCTGGAAAGGAATTAAGGGAAGCTTGTATGTTCCCTTCCTACAATCCCAGCTTCTATTGAAGTAGAAGGTCGACTGGAAATAAAAGCCACACTGATTTTCTTGACAAAACACATCACGGTATTAAGAAAAAAAAAAGTCCTAATTGCTCTGTAGGAAATGTTTTTATTTTACAAATATTCTGACTCTGAAGTGGCAGCATGATTAGGTTACTGACACGATTACTGATACAACTCCCTGTCTCCCCAGGGAGAGCAACACGGGGTCCCCTTCCTGGAAGGAGTGGCAAACTCGCTGCTCCCCAAGGTACACTTGGTTTAAGCATGAGTCTAAATAAATAAATAAATAAATAACCAAAAAATAAACAGATGACAACACAGCAAATAATGAAAGTTTGGTAATTTATGGTCTTATCCAGAACACCATGGGAGCGTGAAAGAGAACTGCAAAAATAATAACTGTCACTTCGACTGTTTTTTTACAATTTCCCAATGGATCAATCTCTCCAAATGAGCAGATGTGAGAGAAACTGGAGGGAGGAAAATAAATGGCAGGTGTAGCACATGTAAACATGGGAAGGCAATGTGAGAGCAGCGTGGAGGAAGGGCACAGCTTCGAAGTCCCCGGGAACCTTTCTGCCGGTTCAGATCCCGGCTGACCCCGCCCGCCTCATGGTGCCGGGAGGCTGCCCCGCGGACGAGCCGTCCCGGCCCCAGGAGCCCCTAGAAGGCGCTTTCGCAGGAGCAGGGCAGCGGTCTGGGGCGCGGCGGGGGTGGGCGCGCGCAGCCCTCATCCCTCCGAGCGTGGTGATAATGCGCGTGGGGCCAGCGGTGGCGGTGCAGAGCCTGGTGGCCCCCGGGGTCCTCGCTGTCCTCCTCGACCCCCTCCCGCGCACAGCACGCGGAGCCCAGGCGCTTGCGGAGCCGCCGGCGGAGCGGGCAGTCGCCCTCCTGGAAGAAGAGGTAGACGAGGGGATTGAGGGCGCTGTTGGCCACCGACACGACGCGCAGCGCCGCCGCCAGGCCGTCCCCCTCCCAGTCTCCCGCGGGCCCGGGCGACCACGCGGCCGCGAGCCGGGTGGCGAAGTAGGGCAGCTCGCAGCCCACGAAGAGCAGCGACAGCACGAGGCTCATCTTCACGCTCTGCACCTTGGCTCGGGCCAGCGCACCGCGCGTGGTGGCGCGGACTGGGCTCGCCAAGCTGGGAGCCCCAGTCGCCTGGAGCTGGGACCGGCGCTGCCACCAAAAGCAGAGCAGGTGGCCCCCAGCGACGCCCATGACAGCCACGGGGGCCGCGAAGCCCGCGACTGCCTCGTAGAGCGCGTAGACCTGCAAGTGCCAGCGCGGCAGGGGCGCGAAGATGCCGCGGCAGCGCCGCTCCCCGGGCCAGGCGCGCGCGGCGTGGGGCGCGGCGGGCGGTGGCGACAGTGGTGCGGGGTCCCCGCGCACCACGAAGGTGGGGGGCAGAGCCAGCAGCAGCGACAGCAGCCACCCCAGGGCGGCGAGGGCGCGCGCGGGCAGCGGCGGACCCTGTGGGCGGCGCACGGCGCGCTGGCGCTCGAGGGCTATGAGCGCCACGAGGTGCGTGGAGGCGCCGCGGCCGGACGCCTGCAGCAGTTGCACGAAGCGGCACGCCAGGTCTCCCGCCGCCGGACGCGGGTCGCCTAGCAGCGCCCAGGCCAGCTGCGACAGCGCGGTGCCCCCGCACGCGTACAGGTCGGCCACGGCCAGCTGCACGAGCAGGAAGTCCATCTTGCGACGCTTGGGACCGGCCCAGGGGCCGCCGCCGCCGCACAGGCGACACAGCACCGTGGAGTTCCCAGCCACCGCTGCCACCAGGATAAGCCCCAGGAAGACCAGGCGGACCCTGCGGCTGGGGGGCCCGGGGGCTGGCGGCGGCGGCCCCGGGACGGAGGCTCCCTGTCCCGAAGTGAGGTTGAGCCCCCAGTTCGGCAAGCTGGGCGCAGACAGGTTGGGCGCGGGCGGCAGGGCTGCCGGGCCGAAGGGATCCTCCATCCTCGGCCGCGAGGGAGGGGAGCCCCGGCGAGGGCGGGCTGGCGCGGAGTCACCGCAGAGGCGAGGTCTGGAGTTGCCAAAGTTGGAGAAACGCACGCACGCACGCACTGCGAGCGAGACGGGCTCGGGTGGTTTGCACCTCAGTGTTTTCCTAGGGCGTCTTCGTCATTTGTCACTCAAACGTGGGTTGTACGCTCGAGAAACGCACATGATTCCTATTCCCCACCTTCTCCGCCTCTGGTCCCCCAATCCCAGCAGGCCCCCCATCTCTGCCGCAGCCCCCACGCTGCGCTCGCGGGCTCTCCAGCCTCGTGGGTGCGGCTCGCTGCTTACACGGCCTGCCGAAAGGTCGCTGTGCTTGGCTGTTGTACAGACGAATGTCAGCCGGGACCAACGAGGGGCGGGAGCTCCTGAGATCGTGGCCCCCGCCCCGCCGTGGTTTCGTGATAGCCGGCAAGAAAAAAACGATGTGGCAGACACTGATTTTGGTTAAAACCAGTCTAAAACCAAACGGAGATTCGAAATGCCGAGGGTCTGCGTTAGGACACAAGAAACCTAACTGTTCTGAGCGGAAAAAAGCCTTCTCTTTGCTTTGACAAGGATGCCGGCCTCTACCCAGCAGTGAGAGTATTTTAATTGGACAGAAATAAAGGCCACGGTGTTGCCTGGCAATCAGGAGTGGCAGTGGTTTGTGAATAGTTCCAAGTACTCCTCATTACTCGAAGCAGCGGGTGGCAGCTGCTCTCCCCTCCCAGAGATGTAAAATTAATTTCATTAGTCTGAAGAGGGCATTGATAGGGTTTATGCAAATGGTGGTGCACGCTTGCTTCCCCTCTGTTTTCATCCAGTGAGGGTTGTGTCATCATGGCTCTCTGGATTCTGTTTTCCAGCAGATGGGAGGTTGCTAGGAGGGACTACGCCTCCAATAAGCTCACAGAAAAGGTGACTAAGAAAATAATAAGGCGGCCAATTTTTTAAAAAAGAAATGCAAGTCACAGGAAATGGTTTAGGTTAAATGCTGCCTCTTTTATTTTAGCCCTGCTTCACAAACACATTTTAGCTTTCCTGTTGGAAGCATCAGTTGGTCTTTTGTGCACCCTCCACATTAATTGAGGTGAGGGAATTTCTTGTGCTCCCCGGTGTGGGGGCAGGGTCACTGTCATGCTACGGAAACACTTGGGACTTGAGGGTGCATGGGTTGGGGTATTCGGTGAGGTTCCAGGACAGCCCTGACCGCTGTTGTAGGAATGTCATTTGCTAAGCTTTTGTCCTTTAGCCAGAGACCCTTGTCATTTTTGTCTTATCTCCAGGGCCTCCCTCTGGGCTTGATACATGATAGACATAGTGAATGTGTGTTGAGTCAATGAATTAATGAATCTAATGCATTTCAGATAACTTAAAGCAAAATCCCTGGCTTGAGTACAGATACGTTACATAACATAAAGGAAAAAAAATGGCCTTACATAATGCCAGTATCAGAGGAGCCCAAAGAAGCTCATGGAAATATATGGATGGGAATGTCTTGGATGATACATTTAAGAAAGAGGTAGCGTGATAACCCTGGAAAATCTGAAACCTTGGTTTGATTTTCACACTTTTCTCAGTGGGGTTTGTCCATGACCCTTTTCTGTGTAATGCATCATCCCAGCTTATGACCCACTCTGAGCAATAACCATCATTCAGTGATTCTCCTACCCACAGTCAGTTCAGTAATTGTCAAGATAATCCTATAATGTCTCAGGGTTGTTGAAATGCTCTTGTATCTTACAAAATAAGACTCTACTGGTGAAATTGCATTTCACAGAACTTTAATTTTAGTAAGACTTGTTAAAACAGTGGGTTTAAAACTACTTCTTGTCCAAGTAATACATGTATAGAATTCTGTAAGCCAAATAGAGCTAGAAAGCTGATAACATAAAAGGTTCTCTGTCCCCGTATCTCTTTTCTCTCTTTCTCCTTCCTTCCTTCCCTCCCTCCTTCCCTCTTCCCCCTCCTCCTTCCTATTCTCCTTCCCCTCTCCCTTTCTCCCTCTCTCCATCTCTTCTCTCCTCCCTTCTATCTCTCCTCTCTCTTCTCTCTTTCTGGTGCTGAGGATTGAACCAGGGCCTTGGGCATGTTAGGCAAGAGATCCACCATTGAGTTACATCCCCAGCACTTCTTCTTATTTTGAGTCAGGGTCTCACTAAGTTTCTCAGGCCGACCAAGAAGCTGTAACCCTCGTACTTCAGCCTCCTGAGTATGTGGGTTTATAGGGATGAGCCACTGTACTTGGATGACTTTTCTTAATTTTCATTGCTAACACAGCTAATACTTTCTATACCTTCAAAGACAATTTCTGCAAGGCCAGCTTCATAACATAATGAAACAACTCCAATTGATTTTTTCCCTGCTGCTTTCCAGAGACTTTTCATTTTCCTCTTCTATGACCTCATCTCTCCTTAGACCTGCTGCATAACTATCAACTGGAAACTTCATTTATTGTTGTCATTGAGTCTTTGCCTTCTTCTTGAGTTGGAGTTTCTGTTTCTTTTTTTTCTGAAACAAAATATTTATTGATGCATTTTAGATATACATAATGATGATATTCATCATAGGGAATTTGTACCTATACATGATATATCTTGCTTCTTCTTTTCTTTCTTTTTTTGGCATTCCCTTCCCATCCCTTTGACCCCTTTTCTCCTTATTTACAAAAGCTTTATTTCCACGTTTTCCTTTTACTCTTTTTTTCCTTGTCCATTCTTCCTTTTGCCCTCTCCCTCCCTTGTTCCCCTTCTCATTTGAACATTTTCTTCCCATTTCTCAATATCTATTATACATTTTGGTCCTTATTTCCACTTTCAGCTTTTCACACCAGAGAAACAATGTGGTATTAAAACATGTGTGTCCAGTTTATCTCACTTAAGAGTATAGTCTCAAAGTGCATCCATTTAGCTAGAAATGTCTCAGACATATCCTTCTTTATGGCAGAGTAGTAGTACTCCATGTATAAAAAAAACCATATCAGTTGATGGGCCTCTGGGCTGTTTCCAAGATTTAGCTCTTACAAACTGTGCTGCTATAAACATGGGTGTGCATATATTGCTGGGGCATGATGCTTTTAATTTGGGAAGATACCAAAAAGGGAAACAGCTGAGTTAAATGGAACCTCTAGTTTTAGTTGCTTTTTGTTTTTTTGGTATCAGGAATCAAACTCGGGTCCTTGTGCTTGTGAGGCAGGTGGCAGAACTACTGAGCTAAATCTCCAGCCCTGGTTTTAGTTTTTTGAGGAGTCTCCACACTGATTTCCATGGTGATTGCACCTGCCTATATTCCCACCAGTAATGGACAAATGCTCTTTTTTCCCCACAGCCCTGCCACCATTTGTTATTGGTTGATTTCTTTTTTTGGTACTGGGGATTGAACTTGGGACCTTGTGCTTGTGAGGCAGACAGTGGCACCACTGAGCTAAATCCCCCGGTTGGTTTCTTAATAACAGCCATTCTTCCTGGAGTGAGATGGAATCTCACCATTGTTTTAATTTGAATCTCTCAAATGACCAGTGATGTTGAACATTTTTTGATATATTTATTTGCCATGTGTACTTCTCCATCTGAGAAATGTCTGTTCATTTCAGATACCCATTTTGGATTGGGTCTTTAAATTTGGGGGGGGTGTCCTGGTTTTTTGGGTTCTTTATATATTTTAGATATTAGTCCTTTGTCTGAGAAACAGCTGGCAAAAATTGTTTTCCCACACTGTGGGTTGTCTCTTCACTGGGCTGGTGGTTTCTTTTGCTGTGAAAAAGCTTTTTGAGATGAGATCTCAGTTGTTTATTCTTTGTGATAGTTCCTATGTAATTGGGTTTTGTTCATAAGGTCTTTGCCTACACCAATGTCTGCAAGAATTCTACCTATTCTATCTTCCAGAAGATTTAGTGTTTCTGTTTTAATATTTAGATATTCGATCTATTTTGATTTGAGTTTAGTATATGGTGAAAGATATGGGTCTAGTTTTAATCTTTGGCATGTGGAAAGCTCATTTGTCCAGCACCATTTATTAAAAAGGCTCTTCTTCTAATGAGGGTGTTTGGCTCTTTTGTCAAAGATGAGGTGGCTGAGTATGTTTGGAGTTATTTCTGGATCTTCTAATCTGTTTCATTGATCCTAAGGTCTATTTTTTTTTTTTTTTGCCAGTACCATGCTGTTTTTATCACATTTAACTTTGCAGCATAATTTCAGGTCAGGGATTGTGATGCCCCCTGCCTTGCATGTGTTGCCCAGAATTGCTTTCACTATTCTAAGTCTCTTCTGGTTCTAAACAAATTTTAGGATTGTTTTCTCTAATTCTGTGAGATACATTATGGTATTTTGATTGGGATTGCATTAAATCTGTATAACAAATTTGGAAGTATGCCCATTTTCAGTATATTGGTTTTTCCTATCCAAGAACAAGGGATCTCTTTCCATTTTCTGATATCCTCTTCGATCTCCCTTTTCAGAGTACTGTAGTTTTCCATGTAAAAGTCTTTTACTTCCTTTATTAGATTGATTTCTAGGTATTTCATTTTTTGGATGCTATTGTGAAATGTATTGTTTCCCTAATTTCGCTCTCAGTGAGTTTTTTATTAGTGTACAGAAATGCTATTGATTTTTACTGACTTTGTATCCAGCTATGTTACTGAATTTGGTTATTAACTCTAGAAGTCTTTTGGTGGAGTTTTTAGGGTCTTCTATGTAGAGTATCACGCCACTCTCAAATAATGATCATTTAACTTCTTCCTTTCCTATCCCTTTTCCTTTTATTTCTCATCTAATTGCTCTTTCTAATGTTTCCAGAACTATATTAAATAAGAGTGGTGCCAGTGAACATCCTTATCTTGTTCCTGATTTTAGAGTGAAAGCTTTTGGTTTTGGACCATTTAGTATTATGTTGGCTGTTGGTTTGTCCTAGATGGCTTTTATCAGATTGATATATAAACCATCGATTCCAATTTTCTGTAGGGTTTCTATCATGAATGGACTTTGTCAAATGGTTTTTCTGCATCTATTGAGATGATCATATAATTTTTGGCTTGGCTCTGTTAATATAGTGTATTACATT